GATACCGCCTCAGAAACCCAAGGAGGGGTCGCTATGAGTCAGGGCCGACTTGATGGCACATAACAACAACAACAACAAAAGTATAAAAAGTAATATACCTCAGAATGGAAATCCAACATGGTGCATTTTTCTCCTGCTCCTAGAATCTAGGGTCTCCCACTGAGGTGTCTTTTGCAACTTTCCCTGAATGCTTCCCCTTTGAACTACATAGTCTAATGCTGGGTTGCAATTTATTTCCTGGATATGTTTGGCTTCTGAGCCCGTTTACTATAAACTAGATTAGGCATTCCTTCTTCCCCCTCCACTCACCTCCAGTAACCCAGCTGTTTGTTAGATTTTAGGATGAATTCACACCAGGAAGTTCCACTCCCTTCAATAACTATAGAGTCAGACACAGACCTTTGAATCTGTTTTCTCCAAATATTTAACATGTTTCCAGCCCTTATCTTCAAGTTTTTACCACTTTTGTTCATCGTTGTGTTTATTGTTTACCAGGTGTATATAAAAATAGCACTATCTGACATTATTGATTACCTGCTAGTGTCAGGCATTGTACTAATATGATGATGAATAGGAAGTAGATCATGATGATATGAGGATAAAGATGATGTTATTATTTCTGGCATTGTTCTATGTATGTGTTTTGTATTAGTCACTTAATCTACACAACTTCCACCATGATGTTTATCCTATTACTATCCTTCCTTTATTGAGGAGAAAAACTGAAATTTAGAGAGATTGAATCAGTTAACCAAGGCAAGGAAGGATTCTCTCCCAGGCATTTGCCTTCTTAGACTTGAGATCTTAATCACTACCATGTGATAGCTTCCATACTGTGTTCATCACTATTAATATTCATCTAATATTTCTTAATAACCTTGAAACAATGTGTCATGGCCCAAAAGAAAAACTTGATTAGTTCTCATTTTCCAAAAATAATGTAGTTTGGTTTTTCTTCACTGGTAGCATTACCAATTAGAACGAAAAGACAAAATATGATAAGCTGCTCCCAATATAAAATATATAACAAAGACTAGAGCATTTCATTGGCTTTGATTTCCCTTGGGTCCACCTCTAAATTAATTTACTTGCTATTCAAGGAAATCATAAGTCAGAAATAAGATCTTATCCAATCTTTTCTTTTCCTTTTTTTTTTCTTCTTTGAATGAAAAAATAAATAAGTAAAATTTAATCACCTGGCAAGGTCCGATTGCTTCTGTTCCATTTACTAATTCTACAATTTATATAATTGATATTGAGAAGGACTATTACACTTAAATTTTTAGACATGGAAATAATCATTATCATTTTTGAAAGATTGTTAAATTGGTATTAATGAAAAATTTGAATCTTTAAATTTTCCTGTCAGATATTACTATTTAAAGCATCTACATGATTAGAAAAATCATATACTGTTATAAATAATACCTTGGCTTCAATTGTTGCCTTTCAGTGAAAGTTGATTTATTGTTATTGAAATTGGCTCCCTAGCTTGTGTTCTAATTCTTCTTTTTTCTTTTTGCAAAAAAAAAATATATATATATATATTTTAGCTCCTAGGCAGACTGCTACTCTGTTGACACAACCTGTGGTTACCAAGGAAACTGCTATCTCCAAAGTAGAAATGCCATCTTCCTTGCTGTTGGAGGTACCTGCTCTGGCAGATTTCAACCGGGCTTGGACAGAACTTACCGACTGGCTTTCTCTGCTTGATCGAGTTATAAAATCGCAGAGGGTGATGGTGGGTGATCTTGAAGACATCAACGAGATGATCATCAAGCAAAAGGTATGAGAGAAAAAAGATAAAACCTGACAGATATTGTTCTTTAAAAGTGAAGATTTCCCACAGGTCAATGCATTCTTCTAGCCCATTTCCCACCAGTTTTTAGCCACTTTTCTCGGCCAGCAAAAACATTACTCCTCTACTCTATTCAGCCTAAGTCTGATTGACAATAAAAACAAATGTGATTATTTAAAACAGCCATAAATTAAAAAGGAAAAACACAGGGAAACAAATATAAACCTTACAAGTCTAGTTGGTTTAATTAAATTCACTAAACAACTGGCATTTGAAATCTATTTAATACCAAATAAATAGCTCAATTAAGTTGTTTATATTTAAATTGTTTGTTTTGGCACAAGGCAGCCATAACATATTACAGAATTAAATATAATAATCTAGGAGTTGGTTATTATCCAGTGTTCTAAGTTAGCTGTGCCAATTTTTGTCCTCCAACGATAAGGATAATTGAAAGTTAGTTATAAATAAGAAAGAGAGAAGTAGCAAAACATAATAAATTTTAAATTACTCTGGATCTTGATACTGGCATTTATGCAATACTGTATTCAAATAAGCATGCTTTTCACACAAAGATTGCATTTCTCAGCCTCGTTGAATCCATTTTGCAAACTTATGACATCAGCCAGAAACATAAGAATACATTGATATAAATGTAGATTACGTAGCTAGAACAAATATACTGTATATCTTTTCTATTTCTGAATGAACAAGAGAAGTAGTTTTGAAAGGTTTATATACTATAGTTATTTCACTTGTAAAACTTTTCAAATCTTTTCTAAAGAAATAGTAAATCATATTGAAGGTATGTAAGTATTGCAAACCTACCTTTTGAGAGAAAAAGAGCAAGGCAAACAGTGAGAGAAATTTCTTTTAAAAATTAACTTTAACAAATCAATAGAAATAACGATTTTATGATAAACAACCTCCATCTGAAGTACCTTTAATTTTGCACTCAGAAGACCTGGATTCAGTGTCCTTTCTTTGTTATTTATAAATAACTTGATTGTAGTCACATCATTCTTTGGATCTTGGTTTCCTCTTCTGGGTACAGGGAGTACAGCATACACATTCACATAGAACATATAGTGATGGATACATGTGTATAAATCGAGATGTAAGTATTACACATGATCATATGTTGTCGGGTGCCGTTGAGTTGATGGTTACTCATAGAGACCCCATGTGGAGCCGTAGAACCTGCCCATAAGGTTGTCTTAGCTGTGATCTTTATGGGAGCAGGTCTCTAGTTATTCGTTCTACAGAGCCACCTGGTGGATTTGAACTACCAGCCTTGCAATGAGCAGCTGAGAGCTTAATGATTCCACCACCAGAGCTCCTATACATAAAGAAAGTGGGCTCTACTACTGCTTCATAACAAATACTTGTAGCCACATTTTTTCAGAGAAAAGCAATTGAAACCAATAGTTGTCACTCTCCTAGTAAGTAGCAGAACAAGGATTAAAATCCAAGTCTGTTTGATTCCTAAGCCTGTGTTCTTACTCATACAAATACTGCCAGCCAGTAATTATTAAAACTGTAGTTATCATTTAGTGACATATATATATGTGTGTATTCTATGTCAGAGACCATACTGAACATTTTACAATTGCCATGTACCATTACATACAGAAATGAGGTGCATTATTTCACAACATTATATTGCAGTATACCAATTCTTCCAGGATTTTTGCTTACCAGAGGAGAGAGTGGGAGCTCTGGTAGTGTAGTGCCTAAGGTACATGACTGCTAACCAGAAGGCTGGCGGTTCAAACCCACCAGCCACTCCTCGGGAGGAAGGTTGGGCAATCTACTTCCATAGTGATACTGCCTTGGAAACCCAAGGAGGGGTTGCTATTGAATTGCGTCCAACTCGACAGCACATAACAACAACAACAACAGAGGAGACAGTATGTTTAAAGCAAGGGCTTTGGAGTTAGATTGTCTGGTTCAACCTTTGGCTTCACTAGTACAACTGTATGTACTTTGATTAATTTTCAGCCTCCTTGAATCTGAGTTTATCTATCTGTAAAATGCAGATAACAATAGTACCTGCCTTGTAGATTGGCATGGGGATTAAATTAAGTATATGAAAATGGATTTTTACCTGGTCTGGGTCACTGCAAGTATTCAATGCTTGGAGGGGGCGGTATGAGTCAGGTCCAACTACACG